GTTTTCTTGAAGATTCTCGTATGTTCAGGTTTCATAAACATTGTATATTATAATTAACCATGCCTTCCCAGAAAATGATGTCAGTAGCAATTATACGTATGGTAATCAGCATTCAGTTATAAAGGACGACACGGATAGAATACATTAAGGACGACACGAATAGAATATATTAAGGACGATGCGAATAGAATATATTAAGGATGACACAAAAAGAATATATTAAGGACGACACGAATATAATCTATTAAGGACGATACGAATAGAAAATGTTAAGGACGATACGTATAGAATATATTAAGGACGATGCGAATAGAATATATTAGGGACAACAAGAATATAATATATTAAAGACGATTCGAATATAATACATTAAGGACGACAAGAATGGAATATATTAAGGACGATGCGAATATAATCTATTAAGGACGACACGAATATAATATATTAAGGACGATGCGAATAGAATATATTAAGGACGATACAAATAAAATATATTAAGGACGATGTGAATATAATCTATTAAGGACGACACGAATAGAATATATTAAGGACGATACGAATAGAATATATTAAGGTCGACACGAATAGAATATATTAAGGACGACACGAGTAGAATATATGAAGGTTGATACGAATAGAATATATTAAGGACGATATGAAGATAATCTATTAAGGACGATACGAATAAAAAATATTAAGGACGATACGAATAGAATATATTAAGGACGATACGAATAGAATATATTAAAGACGATGCGAATAGAATATATTAGGGACGACAAGAATATCATATATTAAGGACGATTCGAATATAATACATTAAGGACGACAAGAATAGAATATATTAAGGACGATACAAATAAAATATATTAATGACGGCACAAACAGAATATATTAAGGACGACACGAGTAGAATATATGAAGGTTGATACGAATAGAATATATTAAGGACGATACGAATATAATCTATTAAGGACGATGCGAATAGTCAATTTTAAGTACAATGTGCATATAATATATTAAGTACGACACGAATAGAATACATTAAAGACGACACGAATGGAATATATTATGGACAATGCGAATAGAATATATTAAGGTCGACACGAATATAATATATTAAGGATGACATGAATATTAAGTGCAAGAAATATTTAGTACGATGCGAATAGTCAATATTAAGTACGATGTGCATATAATATATTAAGAACGACACGAATAGAATACATTAAAGACGACACTAATGGAATAAATTATGGACAATGCGAATAAAATATACTTAGGGCAAAACAAATAGAATACATTAAGGAAGATGCGAATAGAATATATTAAGTGCAATGCGAATAGAATATATTAAGGACGACACGAATATAATATATTAAGGATGACATGAATATTAAGTACAAGACAAATATAATATATTAAGTACGATGCGAATATAATATATTAAGGGCAACACAAATAGAATATATTAAGGAAGATGCGAATAGAATATATTAAGGGCAAATCAAATAGAATAACTTTAAGAACAACAAAAATTGAATATTTTAAGGACAACACAACTAGGGTATATCAAGTACAGCACAAATATAACATATTAAGGACGACACGAATAGAATTTATAATGACGACCTGAATAGAATATATAATAACGACCCGAATATAATAGCTTAATATAATATATTAAGGCCAACACAAACGGAATATATTAAAGACAACACAAATAGAATATATTAAGGACTACACGAATGGAATATATAAAGGATGACACGAATGGAATATATGACGACCCGAATATGATAGTTTAAGGACAGCACATGGAATATATTAAGGACAACACAAATAGAATATATTGAGGACAACATAAATAGAACTTATTAAGGTCAACACGAATAGAACAGAACATATATCCTTGAATTATACAACAAAAGAAGAGAATTTAAGAAAGTAAAAAGAGATCGTGAAGGAGCTAGAAAATACAGAAAAAACATCATGATCAGGAAAAACATGAAAAAAGCAAAGGAATCCTGGATAAAAAGACAATGCTGTAAACTCGAAGACAGTCGAGTGGAAATGACAGCAAAATGGCATATCAACTGGGATAAGATCTCGCAACCCCTTAACAATGGAAAACTTACCACCATCCAAGACAAAGCAGGAAAATGCGTCACAGGAGATCAAGAGATCATGAAGCGATGGACAGAATACTGCTCAGAATTGTACAGTCACAATACCCAAGGAGATCCAGCAGTACTAAATTTCACTCAGGCGGAAGAAATTGGTGACAATCCCATTCTTCGTGAAGAAGTGGAAATTGTAGTTAGGTCACTAATTAAAGGAAAAATGTCAGCCCGCTTTGACAACATACCAGCAGAGCTAATTCAATCAAGAGAAGAATAGACAGTCACAGTCCTAACAAGAATCTGTAACAAGATATGGCAGACAGGAGAATGACTCACCACATGGATTCAATCCTTGGCCATCGCACTCCCCAAGAATGGAAACCTACAGCTATACCAACACTAAAGAACCATCAGTTTGATCAGTCATCCAAGCAAAGTCATGCTGAAGATAATTATCAAGAGAATAAAGCCTCAAGCAGATAAAATTATTGCTGAGAAACAAGTAGGCTACCGAGTAGAAAGAGGCACCACAGAGCAATTCTTCAATCTCATACTCCTTTGCGAGAAATACCTTCATGATGAGCTGATTTTATACCACATCTTTATAGATTTCAAAAAGGCCTTTGATAAGGTATGACATACAGCCTTATGGGCAACTATGAGGAAGTACATCAGCTCAAACCTGGTGCAGGTTGTTAAGCACATCTATGACAAAGCCATCAGTATTGTCCTCATCAATGTCAGCAGAGGAGATTGGTTTCGAACAACAGTTGGATTCAGGCCGGGATTATACTGTCACCTACACTCTTCAACATTTTCCTGGAAAGGATCATGGAGGATGTCTTGCATGACCACAAGGGCACTGTCAGTATCGGAGGAAGAACAATCACCAAACTTCGCTTTGCAGATGATATTGAAGGTTTAGCAGGAGACCAAAAAGACCTGGCTGGTTTGGTTGAATGCCTCGACTCAACCTCCACAGCATACAGTATGGAGTTTAACGCTGAAAAACCCCAAACTGATGACAAACAACACCAATGGCATCAGTGCACAAATAAGGTCAATGGAAGGAAGCTCGGAAGAGTCACAAGCTTCAAATACTTGGAATCAATTATCACAGATGTTGGCTCCAAACCAGAACTACTTTGCAGGATTGCCCAGACAACAGCAGCAATAACAAGGTTGAGACCAGTATGGAAAGATACCAGCATTGCTTTTGGTTCCAAAAAAAAGGCTGATGAGCTCGATTGTCATATCCATCTTTCTGTATACTTGTGAAACATGGAAGGTCACATCAGATCTACAACGGATTCAAACCTTCGAAGTGAGTTACTCCCGCGAGATCTTGGACATCTCATACATTCACCATGTCACTAATGAAGAAGTCCACAACAGGATCCAATGAACCATCAGATCCTATGAAGACTTTTTGACCACTGTGAAAAAAGCGCAAACTGAAGTGTTACAGTCATGTCTCAATATCATCTGGACTGGCAAAAACAATCTTGCAAGACACAATGTGAGGGTATAGAATAAAAATCAGACAGAAAAATAGGTGGGAAGACAACAATAAGGAGTGGACAGGCATGGGATTTGGAGATTCCCAAATAGCAGTAGAGAACAGGGAAAGATGGAGAGAATTGGTTGTAATGTCAACTGTGGTGCCCCAATGACTTCTTGGGTTAATTGATGATGATGATGATGATGATGATGATAATGATGATAATGATGATGGACCACATTAATAGAATGTATTACAAAGGAAAAGAAGACTTCGGTGTTAATAATTTGATGTCGAACTCGGAAGGAGTTAGAAATAAATTATATGAGAATGTAAATCATTACCATAAAATATTATACAATGACACAAATCATTATTACAAATAGTATACAATGACACAAATCATTACTACAAATATACAATGACACAAATAATTACTACAAATATACAATGACACAAATCATTATTACAAATATACAATGACACAAATCATTACTACAAATATTATACAATGACACAAATCATTATTACAAAAAATTATATAACGACACAAAACTAAAATATTATATAATGATACAAATCATTGCAACAAATATTGTACAATGACACAAATCATTACTACAAATATTATACAGTGACACAAATCAATGCTACAAATATTATACAATGACACAAATGTTGGGAAACGGCACTGAAGAAAATAATACACTTTTTCATTGTTTCGACCTAAAGCAAAACGTACACAGGGACAAACACAGATAAACTAAACGTGAAGAAAAATAAATATTTACATTTTGGGGCGAGAGAAGATAATGAAAAGATCTTAACTTAAGGCAAAAATACAAAAACAAAATAACTATAAAACTAAAAATCTATACATCTATCAAAGAGAAACGCAAATGAGATTGCCGGTAAGCTGTGTGGGTGGACTTAGTGAAGTCCATCATTACTAAGATATCGCATTTCTATATGGCGTCATTGATAATCCATAGCGACCTATGATTCGCTTCCTGCATTATATCCGGAATAATTGCCACTAAGAGAAACTGAGAAAAAAATATTTAAATTAATTAATAGGGAAGGTAGTGGAATGTATGTACCAGTCTCAAACCGCAGGTAAGAAAAAATTGAAAGAAAATATTATCAAAATCACAAGATAAATCATTCCAACCCAAGAAAACATTAGACGACAAGCCTTTCCAAAGCCACACCAGCACAACAGTGGCTATATGGTACCAATCAAATTTAAAGCTCCAAAATAGTCTATACAGAAAACTGGTGAACAAATAAATGGGAGATAAAAACGCTTATCATATATATGAGATTATATATATAGATATGCTTTTCTAGCTGGCATACACATATCACATGCAATAGGTTATTATTATTGGCTTAGTAGTTCGAGCGCCCGCCTCAGATGCATGAAGTCGTGGGTTCGAACCCCGGCTGAGTCATATCAAAAACTAATAAAAATGGTACTAACAGCATTAAAAAGATAGAGTTAGGACTGGTCGGCCTTTTGTCAGCATAATGTGACTGGTTGGGACATCATGCTACATGCCTGTGACATGATGTCCCAGTACTATATTATGATATGACTGAGAAATTGTTAAAGTTACTTTAAAAATCCAAATTACACACAAACACACACAGGTTATTGCTCATTCCATTTTTATCAACGATGTCAGTGCTGCATCCAGTTGATGTTTTCCAACGGAACAAGTATGAATCACTATTTACATTCGTCTAAGGTCGAGACAAATGTAAGTTACCTTTTTAGTCCAATTGAATTGATTATTCCATCTTGAAATACAAAATCTTAAATATGACATAATTTACATAAACACTTTTTTCATTGAATTTTCTGTATCAAAATGCATTAAAAATTATTTAAAGTATTGGCGTTCTTTTATGGAACTATATTTATTCCTCCAATTTGTATTCAAACTCGATAATTTCTCTCACCAATCCAAAAGACTAAGGAAACGTTGGGTTTGCATTTATTGATGTGTGCATTTGTTTGAAATAATAGATAGCAATGCAGTTTCTTTCAAATCTAGTACGTTGAAAGGTACATCAAATTTTATATTTTATTTTTATTTAAATTAGTCTATTTTTGGTTATTTTATTATCTTGTATTATCCTTACAGACACATTTGAACACATGATGATTCGATGGGAAGATTTCAGTAATTGATTGATTTGGACATAACAGTGCAAACCTAGTTTGTTTCGAGTCGGCGGAAATAACGCCTTTGATATTGCGTGGGGACAAATTACAAATGTCATAGCTGAGATGTATTCATCAGCCATATTATACAGAATTGAATTCACAGAGATTCATAAAAGTTTCATCAGTTTAAATGCACAAAGATTTATAAAAGTTTCATTTCATTGCCTCGAAGTATAACCAATGAATAGACTTCAAGGAATGAATATAAATAGTTCCAGTTTTGTTGTGTGATACAAAAACTTACTGAACGAACATGTGTTTCTAGTACCACATGAACCATGTAAGAGTACTGGGTATGTAATAAAGAAACTATAGCGTTTAGACCTCAATATGGTTACATGTATTTTATTGTTATTTTTTAAAAACAATACTATAGAAAACAAATTGTCATGATGCACACAATTATGGCTTGTTTTAAAAATATTCCCTACGCTACACATGAAATGGAATAGGGGCGTTATTTGAAATGACCTATAGCTAAATCATAAAATGACTGTATACAGAACTAATACATCTGACATCCATTATATGCTTATATGAGGGTTAAAGAAAAAAATGCATTTTAATAATAATAATAATAATAATAATAATAATAATAATAATAATAATAATAATTGACCAATTTATACATTTTCTTAAAGCCTTACTGAAATTAAAAAAAAACTGAGCATTTTATGCGTGTATAATATTTCTTGTCCACCTTACTAGCTAACAAACTAAGTAGAGGGTAGATTATTATTATTATTATTATTATTATTATTATTATTATTATTATTATTATTATTATTATTCTCAAGGGAGAATAGTTCTTGACTAATGATCCACCCTTTATAAATAAAGCATTAATAATAATAATAATAATAATAATAATAATAATAATAATAATAATAATAATAATAATAATAATAATATCAGTAAGGCTTTAAGAAAATGTATAAATTGGTCAATTTATCTGCAATAATTTCGTGCGTTTTTAAATTATCGATATTGTTCGGAACGTGCATAGATTCATGCCTTAGATTTTATGTGTTTTGAATATTCATTGCATGCGCAATATTAAATTTTTAGTTTGACAATTATGCAGGCATGTACCTGCAATATGAGTAGTTCCATGACTTATTTGTCTCTCATTAAGAATGGCATTGATAATTTAACATGTACCTGCAATATGGGTATATCCATGACTTAATTATGGTATCCCTCATTGAGAATCGCATTGACAATTTAACGACATGTACCTGCAATGTGTGTATGACCATGACTTAATTATGGTATCTCTCACTGAGATTCGGATTGACAATTCGACATTTATTACAATATGATTATATCCATTATGTTATCAGGGCATTCTCACTTAGATTCAAGCAATACGAAGCCATTAGTTATATCCATTCATATCTTGGAATAGAGGATTATATCGGTGTTTAATCAGAAGCCATTAGTTATATCCATTCATATCTTGGAAATGGGGATTACCTCGGTGTTTAATCAGAAGCCATTAGTTATATCCATTCATATCTTGGAAATGAGGATTATATCGGTGTTTAATCAGAAGCGATTAGTTATATCCATTCGAATCTTGGAAATGGAGTTTACCTCGGTGTTTAATCAGAAGCCATTAGTTATATCCATTCATATCTTGGAAATGAGGATTATATCGGTGTTTAATCAGAAGCCATTAGTTATATCCATTCATATCTTGAAAATGTGGATTATCTCGGTGTTTATCCATATAGATGACATGAAGATTACAATTATTCACGATGTTATTGTTTGCATGACTGGTAGCACAAGTACTACGTTTATATTTCTTCCCATAACTTCTGCTTCTTGAGAATTTGTGTAATTATAAAATTCAAAAATTTCAGTATAGGACCAACGATAAGAAACAGTGATAACCGAATGTCTTTACCAATGGGAAACACCACGAATGCAACAGCTCATGGGTAGAAAAGTTATGGATCATACAATATTTTCACATTTTATACATTTAAATGAGTTGAACTTCAATAAAAAATATTTTCATACTTTAGGCATTTAAATAAGTTAAACCTCAATATTAAGTAACTTTTTATTAAGTGAATTTTATGATCATCGATGTACATATGAAGTGTACATTGCTTTTTTTCACTGTATCCGGATGTTAGAGAAGTACTGTATGATAAAAATGCATTATATAAGGTTCATACTCAGTTATTTTACAATTGTATTATAATTCAGTAAGTTTAATCAAGAAAAATAATTCTCAGCACAATAAAAAGAACAACAAAGAATACCTTAATCATTGAGAGACAATGAGTCCCTTTACTTTGTTTACAATGAAGGATTTTTATATTCATTTATTAGATTGTTCGTAGATTGCTTTGCGTTCCATGCCGTACCCAAGCATTGACATGATAAATTTTCGATCCTTGAAATATTTCAGTCATGACTTTATGCAATCGAATTTACATTAAATAAAATATTATGTTTGAAATGTGTGTTGTTTTCGTACACATTTAATCCTGGTAATTTACAAATGTTGGACAGAACTAGCATCATCTCATTCCATAGCAAGTCATAATATGGTGGAAAAGCAATATCCGCATCCACATCAATGTAAACGAAATCGATCCCTTTCAAAGAAAAGACCCAGTTTTCTGTTGATGAAACAATTAGTCGCGCTGCGTGTCAATACCGTAGTGACATTATATGAAAATTATACATTCGATCAATAAATATTGACTATATAATGTAGAAATATGGAAATTCCGTGTAACTGTTACCTTTTCTTTATAATTAAAAATAAATTAGAATAGTCTACGCAATATTTTGAAATCAGGTGCGTCTGATTTGTTTAATGGTTGTTAGAGTTGATCACATTATCTAAATTTAGCATCATTTTCACGCAAGCTGGATACGAAAATTTAGATACAAATTTATGCCGAACGCAATGGCAATGTATTTTTACCCATATGATTTCGACAAAAATACTTCTCATATGTGGCCGAGTGGTTTAAGACGCTCTCCTTTATTAATCACTCACATGTCTCTTTTGCTGAATGAGTTAGTCTACGCTCAACGAACTAGCGAGTTGATTCTATCAGAAACAGAATTAATTTAATTAGAGACAAAATTCAAAGTCTTCTGTGGAATTTTTAAAGGTGATATATCCACTCAATCCATAGCGTTCGCTTTATTATTACATTAGAAAATTATTTAAGGTCGGTTGAAGTTTAATGTGCGCAGAATATTTCTGAATCAAACCCTATGTTTAGCAATTTGTAAATCCACACCACTGCCTCATGTGGTTGTTTTGAATTTCATGGCTACATCTCACTATTTCATGTGTGTGTGTGTGTGTGTGTGTGTGTGCGAGAGAGAGAGAGAGACAGAGACAGAGACAGAGACAGAAAGACCAGCCAAAGGCAACTTTAGCCCATTTGCTGATTTAAACTTTTTTTTAAAAAAAATTTTACATTTGAAGATTTTGAAATTTATTCCAAACATTTAATTCTTTAAAAAAATGTTATAGAACTTTTAAACTCTTGCTTTTAATACATAACAATGTAAGTTCCTATCAAATTTCATCTTACAACTTTGATGATTAAATTATTTGTTTAGTCCTGTATTTAGTTTATGGAAATGTTGAGTCGTAACAGAAATTGAGGGCAAATGCGGGATACGAATTTAATAAATATTTCTGGAAATTAAAATTGATTTTGAAATATAAAATCTCCTTCATACATAGTGAAACCAACAAGCTTTCACAATGTTAGCTAGGTCGTTTCCAATCGGACGCAGGATGGGTTGGAGTGTTTAAAGTGCAAACCGTTATGATTTTTAGACGTAAACCCATCGTTGCTTAAACAGAAAATTAAAAACATTTTGATACATTATTTCGTGGAAAACAAAATGTTTGACACAAGTGCTTTGGGTTTTAAGTCATAAAAATGTATCGGGCTCTGAAATGAAAGTAACAGAATTTAAATAAAAACATATAGAAACAGAATTTAAGAAACTTAAGTTTCTAAAAGAAATGATAGAAATCCAAAGTCAGGAAGAAGAAAGATATATACAAATGCAAATTCAGAAATAAGAAATTCAAATTCATAAAGAGAAAGAGACATTCAAATTAAGAAGGAAAAATGAAAAGTGAAGATCGGCAAATTCAAATGCAAATTCATAATGACGAATGTGAAAGAGAACAGATACAAACGAAACTGCAAATACAGCAAAATA